GATAAATTGGGTAAAAATAGCCGAGGCATCTGAGTAAGAATAAATTGAGTTAGAACAACAAGGTTCCTGCCGACCAAGACTGGGGAAACTAATCAATGACTAATTATCAAAGGATGGTTTCTCTTCATTTGAGCTCCCTCCATGCAGCCTGGGAACCATTTGGAGCAGTAGCTCTACCTGTCAAGTTGCCACAGCACACCCTGGGGTGCCGTTCTCATGACAGCATTGCTCAAGAATGTAAATGGCCTTGGTTTACAGCAGCTTCACTCTTGGACTAATGCAGAGTATGAGGATCAGATGGCCATGTAATTGGAATTTATTAATTCAAAATAGGAGGGATTGCTGAGGTAATAGGGGCTCAGCCTCTAGGAGGGAGAAAGGGCCAGATTTTTAAAGGTATTTAAGTGCTTAAAGATGCAGATAGGTGCCTAATGGGATCTTCAAAAGCACCTAGGTGCCTAACTCCCATTGATTTCATGGAAGGTAGGTGCCTAAATACCTTTAAAAATGTAGCCTTAACTGTCAAGTCCTCAACAACTTTCCTCCTCCTCTAGATGTTATGACCTACAGGTCTCAAACCTGGCTCCAAAAGATTCATGGGAGTGGTCACATGCCAACCCTCCACCTGGTGGTCCGCTGACAATTGCTTACCTGGGACCCAGCAAGCCCAGCCCCAGTTTGAGGCTCTGTCCTGGAGGTGTTATTGGTAGAGCAATCAGCTGCTCTGGTTGGCCCACCAGCCCTACTTAAGCCAGCAGCAGGAACAGGAAACTCTCTGAACAATGGGGCTTCACCCTGTTCTGGATTGATGCCTTGTGCTTCCTGCTCACCCCGGCTTGATTTCCTGGCCTCCTGACTCAGCATGACTCCTGGCTGCTCGTGGGTCTGATCTCCAGTTTGTCTCCTGTTTCTGACCTCCCTGTCTCATGACTCTGACCTGTGACTCAGACTACTAGGTCTGGCCACCCCGGACCCAGCTGTGTCACTAGGGAGAACCTGTTAAGATGACATGTTAGGGACACAGATCTCTTATCACCAATATCCAGCTGCCGGAAAACAAGCATTGGTATCTGCAGCTGACTTGTTCATCCTGGTACTTTGGTTTAGCATCTTCCATCCAAGGATCTCAAAAGTGCAATAAAACCATTGCTGAATTGAGTCTTAACACTCCTAAAAGTCAGCAAGGTATTCCTACTTCCATTTTACAGGTGAGGAACATGGAAGTTAACAGGTTAAGTGACTTGCCCAAGTTATTTAGTAAACTTTGGCAGAGCCAGGAATACAACCCAGCCGTCTTGACTCCTATTTCTGTGCTTTATTCACAAGGTCCTCTGAAATGTGTATCTCTTTGTTCCGTTTACTGTTAGCTTTACAGTGTTTCAAGTAACTGTGGAGGTGAAGCGGTAAAACTTAAGGATGGTTAGTTTTATTGGATGTAAGGGCCTAAATCCACAAAGGGACTTAGATGTTGTGATACTCAGCATTGCAACACCTAACTTTTAGGCCTCTAGAAAATTACAGAACGAATGCTTAGCTCCACAAGGCCTGAGTTAGGGCTGAATGGGAAGAGACAGGCACCTACAAACGTGATCCCACAAAAGCCAGTATGCTAGGGGGAGCCACCTACGCTAGCCAATGGGACATGCCAACTAGCGGGGGTGTATCCTAAGCCCCTCCCCTTTCATGGAGATAGGCACCTCTCTCTGTTGTGATCCACAACCGGGAACCCTTCCCCTGGAGTCATGTGGCTTAGGTGCCTAAATTTTTTCTTTTGAGAATGAGTTAAGTGCATCCTCCTTCAAAATGACAGGAGTATGAGGTGGTGCCGACCTCCTTTTAGCCCAGTGGTTAGAACACTCACTCACCTGGGATGTGGGAAATCTAGGTTCAATTCCCCCTTCAATCTGAGGTGAGAGAGGATGTGAGTAGGGGGGTCTCTTAGCTCCCAGGACCGTGCTCTAACCCCTGAGCAATGGAATAGGTGGGGCTCCCTTAGTCTCTCCTGTTGAAACTGTTCTGCTGTGAGTAAATAATTAGTCATTGGAACAGGAAGACTGGCCTGGGGGTGCCCTAACTACCAAGTTATAGTCACTCTCACTCTGGCTCAGTGACCATTTTGTGTAGGCGCATCCTTCTCCTTCTCCAGCCAGATTTTGAATGGGACCAGATCGGGAGGTGGCCTTGGAGCATGCCTACTGGATTGAGCCCCACAGGTGAAATAGGCACTGCACTGCCTCTCTTCCTCTGGTTGGTGGATTGCACTTGGGAAATAGACCTCAGGCCATTGAGAAGCAAGGCAGTAGCTTGCATGCCCAGAGGCAGGGACTTAGGTGCCAAAGGAACGTTTACTGCAAAAATAAGTGCTGAGTAAGTTTAGGGTAAAACGGTAGCTGAGTGGGAGTTTTGTGGATGGCACTGGTGCCAAAAAATGGGACTTAGTCTAAACTCCAGACTTAGCACCTAGGCCCAGCTCCACTAAGGTACTTAGGTGCCTAAGGACTGAAATTGGCAAGGTCTGTAGAGAGGTCTACACATTACAGTCTCTAGGATGATCTCCATTCTGAACGTCAGATACAAGGTAAAGGCTGTCCCCGTCCCTCTGATGTTCAATAAGATAAAGAGAATGACACGTTTATTACTGATCACGTTTAACATTCGATTACAGGCTTATCAGTTCTAAACAGATGCTTATTTCAAAACCCCGTGCCCGTCTCTGATGCCATTTTCAATTTGTTCAGCATTTTATACTTGATGACAGAACGTCATGTGAACCCTTCTATTCCGCACATGCCTAGGAGGTTAAAGTTTTCTCCAGATTAAGGTAACAGAAGGAGTAGTTAATAAGGACCTTTCAGATGAGACCTTGCAAGTGGAGGCACTCAGCTGGTCCAATGCAAGAACCTACATAGAGATTTCATGATTTACTATTTTTTCCTCTCAAGCTCCATGACTTACTGTCAGAGGTGGGGGAGTCCCCAGGGTTGAAGAAGTGCTGCTACTGGTCCTGCCACTAAGAGAGGAGGAGGCGGCGGCTAGAAATAGGAAGAATCTCATTGTTAAATAGTTACTGCATTGCTCCTTGGAGGTGACTGCAGTGAGTAGTGGGCATAATTTGTCAGGTATGTTGGCATCCATCAGAATGAAGAGTAACATGCAAGATATTGTTGACATAGTAGCAAATCTTCCTTGTAGGATGCACTTTACTGGTACGGCATCTGCTACTACCAAGGATGATGAACCAACAATGTCCACAAAGGGAAGCTGCCATATTGCAATTTGCTTTTCACTTCATATTTGAAATAGTAAAGAAATTGCTGTACTAGTTTTTTGAAACAGCATATACTAGATATAACCGCCAAAGCATTAACAAAATAAATAGGCATCGTTGGAAGAAAAGTGCAGAATTTCAAGGCCATTTAGTTTTTATTTATTTGGTAAAAAGCCCAGGTTAATCGTGTGCTGGAGTACTACATACTGTGTGTTACTATGTATTACCAAGATATTTGCTCTTTCAAAGGAGCAAGCAGACAATGGCAGACAGTGCCAGTTCCAGCCGAATGAAAGACTCAGTTGTGGCTGGTAGGACCAGCTTTGAAAAATGTCATCCGGATGCCCGGGCAACAGGTGGTCTCAGAAAGAGCTACGGTTCCCAAAGGTGGACAGGAGATGAGTTATGGGCAAGGGGGAACTCCTTGTCAAGGGAGCAAACGGGCAAGCACAGAAAAAGAATGTTCAGAGATAAACTAATTGCTGCTGCGGAGGCAGGAATGAGGGAGCTGAAGGCAGAAGCATCAGTGAGCAGCTTGAACATGTTCCAAGCCTAACGAAGGGAAAGAATTGTTGGAAAGTGATTAGGCCGAAAACAAAGTGCTTCAAAAACAAACAATGCGAGTCTGTCAACAAAAGCGGTCTCTGGCGTAACCTTTGGCTTTCTGGAACGGGTAGCCTCCATAGCTGGAGAGTGACGGGCTGGTTGGAGAAAGATGAAGTAGTAGTTTTCCTGTTGAAGTGAGACCTGATCAGAATGTTCAAGCAACTCATCAAGGAAAATATCTATTCAGAATCCTGTAGGGTTAAGTCCTTAAATGGTGTTCAGTATCTTTAAATGATCACTTGGTATGTTCAATGATACACCCCACAGGAACGTAATGGCAAAGGTTTCCAGTCACTGATAGCCATCAGGTATTTGTTGCAGGTGACTTGCAGTGTTTCTGGAAGATGTTGGGGCAATGTCATGTTTCTGCCCGTTGTCCTTCTTTTCCCAAGACTCTCCCCCAGCCCCTGGACAATGATACACAAACAAGCATTAGCCTGAGCCGACAATGGAATTGCACCATCTGTGCGATCCCTCAGCTGTGGTTAATGGGAAGGTATGATAGAAGGTCACAAGGCAGCTAATTGCATTGTTGGTGTAAGTCAAATACATGCCCAGACTCAGCTGACAGGGTCTGCTATAAGCTACCAAGGCAGCTGCCTAGGGTGGCTGATTCTGCCTGGGTGGCAGGGCGGTCAGGCCAAACCTTCATGGTGCTAGACCTGGTGCTTGGACCCTACCCCCCCTTTTACTATAACCACTGAACCATCAGAAGGCTTGCCATACTCCCCTAGAAAGCCCAATGCATACACCCACCCAGTTGAGAACCTCTGTTCTAGGTGATGGGAGGGACTGGTACACTGAAGTTTTGCCTTGGGTGGCAGATTTTCTTGAGCGGCCTCTGCACCTATCTGAAGTAAAGTTCAGGGCAGCAATAGGACAGTTTAAGGGAGCCCCAACCTCACATTATTCTTAGTTTTAAAGACTAACTTCCTACTGAGCACATATACATCTCCCTTTCTGGTTATTACGCCTCCTATCTTGCTCATCAGTACTGGGGACAGAGAGTCTGATGGTTGTGGAGGAAGGTACGGTATTTCCAAAGTCGTCTGCTGAGTCAGAAGTGTGACTTGCTTGAACCAAGAGGTCTGATTTCTCTGATAGTGTTTCTTTGTATTTACCGCAGTACCTAGGAGCCCTTGTCATGTCATTGTGCTAGGCGCAGTACAAACACAGAAGAAAGAACATCCCTGCCCAACCTTCCAGCCTTTCCTGTTTGGCGACTGTAATGCACAGGATCTATGTTACGGTTAGTGGCCAAGAATTTAGTTACTTAGTACTGCTGTATTTCGAGTTTGAATTGTGGCACTGAAACACATGGTACAAAAGAGGATGAGCTACATAGCACTAATATAGGCTTGGTTGTTAAATTAAGACATCTCTCTTTTTAATCCATGTTCTAAGATAAGTTAGCACGCTCTATTTGAAGTGCATATAGTAAGTTTCCTTTTATAGATGTTTAGGAATTTGGTAGTATATGTATGAGATAAAAGCAGCACACTTAATTGCATTTAATGTTCACATTTTTGTGTTCTTGTTCAAAACCTACGTTTGAATAGTTACAGTGGGAAGATTTGTAAAGATTGTTCACAGATGCAGGATTTAAAAATATATACTTGCTGTAGGTATGTTGAATCATAAAATAAAGCTTGTAAGTAACTCCTGAAGGTTGAATAATATAAAAACAGAAGGGCTTACTTTGAATCAGTTTGCATCTTGCATCTGCTGAAATAATTTTAACAAAAGTTACTTTTTGGTATTAAAAACAGCTTAACATTGGTGCATGAGTTAGGCGTAGGGAGATGTGTGTGGGGGGGAAGGAGATTCTGTATTTAATACCATGGCATTCTTTCAAAAGAATGTGTAAAACAGTGTATTGTATGCATACTAACCATGCATTAATTGTTCAAGTCAACAACTGTCAAGTAGTAATTATCAAGAAAAGAGGTGCAGTACCTGGATGGTAGTAATGCTTCAGATACATTATACATAGGTACTCTGATTACCATTGTTTACCTCCCTGCATCTCCCCTTCTCCCCCGAATTTTACTGGAAGTTACAACCCTTTTAACACCATACAAGCAGCTTTCAATTAGACAGACCATGTATTTGAAGTATAAAATGTTCCAGCTTCCATAATTCTTTATTAAATATTTAACAAGTTGCATCATTTCATTACAACAACTTCATTTTGTCACATTGATCTTTTGCTGTCAGGAAAACAAACTACAATTTCCTTCACTTCTCTTAAGAAAATAAATGGAAAAAATGATTTTGTCCTTAAACAAAAACAAAAAACATTTTCCACTGTATATCAAATCCAACCATACTTTAAAGCTATTTTGATTGTGAAAATGAGCATTATTTATAAGTAGTAGTTTTCAGTTTGTTTTTTTTAAATCAATTTTAATGTAGTTTTAGTATAATTTTAAATAGCCTCACATTCTGAGGCGTTTTACAATAAAAAGTTACGAAAGATCGTGAATTTCATCTGGAATGTTTGAAACTATTTTTCACCTTTGGAAGTAGTCATTTCAGGTTTAAATTTGAATAAAGGTCATAAGTTCACAAACACAGAGCATAGCAAAATCACCTTCTAGTGGTTTTATTTGGGTTCTGAGAATCATAACGTATTCACTATGGCATGGCTCTGCTAAAGCTGCATTGGAGACAAACTGCTCACAATCCTCTTTAGGAGCCAATCCTGAACACAGAATTGATTAAAGAAGTATAAAAATGCATTACATATATGTACTACTGTATGTGAGTACACACTGTGTTTATATATGTGTATATATATAGTGGTAAAAAAGAACAAAAGCTACATGGACGTTAACTGAAAGAGGAAAACATGACATAAATGAAAGAGCAACGTAAGAAAATCCAGATGGCTTAGAAATAGAGAGGCATGTGATTAAATATGGTTTGTGGGGGTGGTCACGTGATATGAATGTAATGTTATGTGTGCAGTATGACAGACCTGAGGGATATGTAACATTAATATGGGTTAGATTCCAGTTTTAGCAAAACAATTTTCCCATGCATTTCAAACATGTATCGCTTTTTCGTGCAACGTCTAACAGATGTCGGAAGAGAGGTTTTTTTCCAAAATTCCATACAAGCAAAAGAAAAGACTTTTGCTATTAAAAACACCCTCATGTTTGTAAAATGTCCACTCTGGTAATTATAAGGGTTTTTTCTTTTTCATCTTACCTATTAAAAATTCAATTTTGTATATAGTTGGGTATACTGTACTTATTTATATATATTTGAGAAAGTGGTCCAAACGTGTCACTTATTCCTCCCGGTTATAAATTCCAGAACACAAAGGGTAAAATCCAGGCCCGACTGAAGTCAGTAGGAGTTTTCCTATTGACCTCATCAAGGCCAGGGTTTCACTCAAAAGTATAAGAACAGATTCAATATCTCAGAAGTGAGATTTGCAAGTATGATACCGAACTCTGCAGTCTCGATCCCCAGTCAGTAAAGGCTAATCACATAACAGAGGTAGTGGATGTCTTTTGGGGTAGTGGAGATTTTGGGTGGGGGGAGGGAGGAAATGAGATACTTGATTAGTCTGTAGAGCAGCATCCTCTGCTGGTTTGTCAGAAAATATTACAAGAGAGCACGCAGTTTGCCCTCCCTGCATGAGAAATTCAGAGATAGGGATGTCTTCTCTAGGATGAGAGATTTAAAAATAAAATTGAGTGAAATAACAAATTCGCCTTTTTTTTTTTTGGTTAACTTCAGTGGCAAGACAAAAGGAAGATAAATTTTCAGGAAGAAATTAGGTCCAGTCATAATGAGTTTCCATCAACTAGGAATAAACGCTGGAATTATGATACGTAACTGACCTGCCTCACAAGAGAGCCAGAGATATAAAAGACTTGATGTGAGCAAGAAATCACAATAATTTGGCCATTTAGAATCTTTTTAAAAATACAAATTCTACAAAAGTATCTGTTTTATGATTCAGTATTTGAATATTAAAGAAAGGCACCAAGTTAGAGCACAAGTCCAAATGGAGCAATTTCCTCATTAATTAAGGTTTAATAAATAAGAGAGACATTTAGCCACCTTTCCCTAGAAAGAGTCCTTCAAATACAGTGTCAGGAATTCCGGAAGAACTTCTAAGAGGTTCAGTGCATTAGAACAGAAACTCCAAGAAATCTACTTTATATCCTAATAGTCAGTGCAAAAACAGCTTCAACATATACAGTTCTTAGTTACAAAGTAATCTGTAGAATAGAATCAAACTCCCTTATAGGTGCTGTTTTGCTGAAGCACACACTATGTACCTGGACCTCACACAAGTCATTCGCAAAACTGAAGACAATTCTCTGGGCTTAAAGAACAGATTCCACAGGTGGTAACAGCCTTTTGGCTGACACAAGGGGATTTCTACAGTAGGGTTTTTAGCCACTAAGGTAAGCTACCTTAGTGCAACATCTGCTTTGCACTGGTGCAGTGCATTTACACTAGAGGTTTGCACCAGGGCAGCTACATCAAAACAACTTCACTGGTGGCTAAAATCGAAGTGTAGACAAGGCCAAGGATTGTGCTGCTCAGGAACTGCCCCGAGAGGTCGATTTCTACCTGCCGATTCAGGCGGGTAGTGTAGACCTAGCCTTAGAGACCCTGACAAAAAGGGACAGACTCACTTCTACAGTAAGGTTTAAGTTTTCTGGATGCTAAGGGGCTGAGGGATATTTGTTGAGAAACATTTCTTGTACTTATTTTCCAACACTGAGTACTTTCAGTGATTAAAAATACAAATTTTCTCCTTGGCAGGAATTTACCTCAATATAGTAATGTATACTGAAGTCTTTTGGAGTTTCTATTCTTAGTTTATGTGTAAGTGGATCTGAAAAGACGTTAGCCTAATTTTCTAAAAGCCTGGTCTTAAAAAGTTATGCTCCATTGTTTCATTTTGTGCAGTTATACAGAGCCTTTCATCTTTACACAGAGATCTGAAGCCCATTTTGCAGATGGGGAAACAGGCACAGAATTTAAATGACTCAACCAAGGAGTCACCATGAGAGTGATGGCAGAGTTGGGAATTTAACCCAAGTCCTGACTCCCAATTCCCCCAGCCTAAATTCTAAACTACACTTTCCCTTATTACACAAGCGTTAGTTTATATTTCAAGTCTATAGCGCAAACTTCATAGCAGTCCTTGGAATAAGGTTCTGTTACATGGCACTGAAGCAAAATGTTGCCTCCAAACATACAAAAATTCTTCCAGTTAAGACACTGTTTTTTTAAAAAAAAAAACTGACCATAGAGTATGACAGATTTTTAAAGGCAATTCCATGTTCTAGCTACAGAAGTTTGGCATGTAGATACACATTAGAAAGATCAGATCCCACTCTCTAAACGCGTAAGAGGCTATCAATATAGTGTTTTACATCTATTCAGATCTAGCCCACTTCATTCTCATGTCTAGATTTTCAGCTCACCAGATGGAAAAAAAGGAATGTCTGAAAATAAAATTAATATAGAAAGGGAATTAACCTTAATCTACATTCAAATGAGAAGGTTCAAAACTTCTTCATGCACCTATTGATTCTTCAAACTTTTGTGAGCAAACTGAGGCTGCATCCCAAGCCAGGCAAAGTTTGACAAATTAGCATTTGCTGAATGTTATTAGTTTTGATGAGTTTTGCTAAATTAGCTCTCATGGCTAGAGTTAATACTTATTACACTCCCTGCCTGCAACTGCTGCCGAATGCATTGCTGGTAGCGGATTGCATGTGCCAAATAAAATAAAATAAAATAAAATAAAATAAAAAAAAGCTCAGTTCTTGGCAATAAGGGGTGAAATTGTTTCAGATATTCTTGCACTCTGTCATCTTGCTTGTGAATAAGTATTAGTCGGGTTCTTAGACAAAACAACAAAGTGTGTTACGTAGATGGACAAAAACTCACAAAGCCGAACATAATCAAATTGTTGAATGCATACCCTCAAACCTACCCTACTACTATGTTAACCATTTAACTTCAGTGGATCAAATGCAAGTCTTCTCTTTTGCCTTTAATCTATCACACAACAGATACAACTCAGGCATTATAGTTTAAGCATGCAACATGTCATAGGTAACAAAATTGATTAGATAACTGTATATATTAAATAAATCTTTGTGATTGAATAAAAAAATCACAAAAACAATTGGTGAGAACATGTCTGCAGGCCCAGCTCTACATCTGGTTTTTATACAGCAGCAGCAGCCAAATTCACAATTGATAGATATTGCACCCAAAAGACATGTGCAGTGAGAAGGAATATAATCACATTAATGTTTATGATAAAAAACAGATATGACCTCCATGTGTTACATAAAGTGCCTTTAGAGTTGGTGCAGTTGGAAACAAACAAAAAAACCCAATCTTGTTCTTTAGGTATCATTAGCAAATGCATACAAACAGGAAACAAAACAGATCTGGTTTCCACAGTTCCAAATCAAGCAGTGCCAGGTTGCCTCCATTGCAAATAGTAAAGAGGAAAGGATAGTAAAAGAATCACTGTACAAAGTTAATGACAGGGTTAAGCATTTTTCCCTATAATGATAATGCCAACCCTATCCCAAAATGTTTTATAGTACACATAAATATTACCAAGAAATAATGAGGTGATTTCTTTATTGACCGTGAGATTTGGCATGCTATGTTATGATCCTCTCTCAGCTTGTAACTATTCTATTGATTTATACAAAAATGTAACATCCAATCTGTACTTTTTCTTCTGGGTACAGAAAATATTAATGTGCTCAATGAAAAGCTTTTAGATTTGCCATTAATATATTCCATCTGCAGAAAATTTCTCACATCAGTTACTCCAGCTTTTCTAATAGGTTGGGGGGACAAGGCTCAAAATGCATGTTGAAAGTAAAAATGCCACTGGCATCAAGTCTGGTATGAAATTAAGATAAGAAAAAATGCTCATTTTTCCAAGTAGATGACATTTTTAATTGTGATGAAATAAAATCTGAAAATGTCTAAATCATTTAAAAAGTAAACATGAGTTGTAATACTATACCTGTAAAGTGATTAATTCCATTCATTGTCATTAGAAAGTATGTAAAATATTTATTAAGGGCTTTGCCTACAGAGGCACAACATAAATAGAACAAGTCCTGCTGAAATGTAATTAGAGTACATGTCAACCAGTTGGTGATTTACTGTGGAAATATCAGAAATGTTATCCACAGGTTGTAGTTCAAATTTCTGAATTTAGGCAACTGCACTGTAGAAGAGTTTGCTCCATGAACCAACATTGTGCAACTGTTCTGCCATTGTCACTTGTTAATGTCCATTAGGCAAATTCAACAGTTCAAGCAGAACTTGCTCGATGGAAAAAAAAAGTAGCTGTTTTAATCCACTCCTTCAAATCCTTGAGCATTTTCAACTGCCATAAGAAGCTTCTCTCGTAAATCTTCAAAAGATTCATAAGGAGGTAAGTCAAGGCGATTAAAGCTGAAATCGAAGGGGGAAAAAGTATCATTTGATAATCCACTTAAAGTAAAAAAAAAGTATACGGAGGTCAAATAATTTGGAGGCCTCATCAGGGGTGTGTTATCCTCTTGTCTAAATGGAACCAGCTACATATTTCCTTGTTCTCTTGTGCCCCTGCTAATAACTCTGGTTGCTCTGAAGTTGGTATCCACAGATAACCAGCCCTTTCTTCCCATTCAGACCCGAGAGTGGAAAATTGTTCACCTCTACTTGGAAGAGAAAAAATAATGTATTTTTAATGGTTTCTTTCTATAGGAAACCCGGTTTCAGACAGAGTTGTATCAGTTCCAAAGACTCAACAGAGATGCACTGAATTTAAAGGTCAGATGCTCATTTTCCCTCTAAGGGAGTGGGAACAGCAACAAAAAACAGAGAGAAGGCTCTTTGAAAACATCCTGGATAATTTAATAGATAACAGAAATTGTTCTGTAAGTAAGTTCAGCCTCCTGCTATAGAATTCTGTAGGATGGTTCAAAAACCTATGGAAAGGTGACTCCTATTAAATGCTGTAAGTTTTATTTTCTATAGAACGCCAAAGAATTTAAGCCCCATTTATTTTATAGGGCTTCCATACATGGAAAACATTCACAATAATTAATCTTTTGGTTCTTTTTTTGCTTCACAGATTCTCAGGGTCTGTCATTTGAGTTTTATGGATGTGTCTGGCTAACTTAAATTAAGTCAATTGGGCTGAGGCCTCCGCTTTTCAGTGAATTGTCTGACAAGGCAGGGGCAGATGGAGCTTATGGAACCAGCTGCTCCTGGGCACATTTTTTTTCCTGTGGTTGTGCTTTGTTGGCTCTCAGATTTTCACAGAGCTCATTCTATCCACTTTCCAAGGAAGAGAATAAAAGTCATTCACCGAAACTGAACCCAGGCATGCGGTGATGAGAGTAAAAGCTGCCTGCAAAAGTAGGACTGGTTGGGGGAGAGAGGGAGGAAGGGAACAAGAGATTTTTGAAGTAGATTCTATTTGTACAATTGCCAGTCCCTCTTTCCCATGTCACATATTTGTTTCCATTCATTAGGTTCTCAGAGAGAGAGGAAGGGGTAGTAATTCTGTAAGACATATGAAACAAGGGACAAAATAGTAATGTACTTCTAATGCGAGGCACTTTTGTTCCTTTCCTCGTGCCTCTGAGAAGCACTGTCCCCCTCTCTGTACAATCTACCTTTCACTGTAAATAGCCCCATGCACTATTCTGTATTGTTCAAATCTCACCATTTCTATCAAGCGACAGAGCAAACTTTAGGATGCCAACACCTACAAGTGTTTTCATATTAATTTAAAACTAGTATTTTTATGGAGAGAGGGAAAGTGATCCAGGCAGAAGATTCACCCAGCATAATAATGATATGGCAAAAATGTGGGACTTGATCATCAAAGGTGTCGAGTGCTCTGACCCCAATACAGCAAAACACTTAGTCATGTGCTTCAAGTGATGTGGTGGATCAGGTCCCACTGCTCTGTACCTTGCAGGATTAAGCCCTTATCCATTTGAAAAAGGTAAATTATATTAGAGACACAAAAAAGTCTTCTAGCAGAAGGGATTAAAACTGTTATAGAAGACACTTCCATCTCATTAGCACACTGGTTTAATTGCCAAGTGCTTAAGGCAATTTGCAGACTAATGGGTTCCTTCAAATTTGATAGAAAATTAACAGCTGCTGTACAGGAGTAGCAATTGCTTGAAATAAGGTGAAAAAGCTTTCAAGTAGAATCCCTTCTGTGCAACAAATACATTAAAACATATCAGCTATAGCCCAAGAGAACTATCTCCCAACTTTAAGGGACAACTGGATCACCGTCATATAGAACAGAAATTCTTTACCGAAATAAAAGTATGTATGATTTAAAGTGGCTTAAGTGCATCTACATTAGGGGTTTGCACCTATTAGTTTTCTAACATAGATCAGCTTTTAATGTGTTGAAGGACAGGATTAAACAAAGAACCTTTTGGAAACTAAGGCCTTGGCTACACTTACCCGGTAGTTCGGCGGCGAGCGATCGAACTTCTGGGTTCGACTTATTGCGGCCGTTTGTGG